GTTCTTACAGGCCATTGTAACATTTTTCATTTGCATGTTGTGTCACGGTCATTGTTGACATAAATATAGTGGTTTCACTTCTGTTCTTTGCAGTGCAGAAAAAAATTGACATAGAGTGTTTAGTAATGGTGTGGGGGGGGATGCACTTGAAATATTTAAGAATTACTCCATCCCTTTCAGAAACTCCCATCTGTCAACCCCCGCATGAATGGAAAAATGGTTTCGCCTGGTGAGTTGGGGGGTAATCTATGTATCTGTGTTATGAAAGGAACATGCAATGACATTGTCAAAGAGGATGTTATGGTGCATCTCCTCATTGTAGTTAAATTACTTCTGAGTGTGGAAGTTACAAAGGTGGATGTAGCCGCGCTGGTGTGAGAGGCTTCATGAATTTTCACTCCATCCTTAGCCAGCTGAGACCCGACGTGAGAATCGTGGTGGCGGAGGGAGCTGTATTATGTATCATGAAAAGCTGAACTGTATGACTGACCAGCTCAGATGTGTTTAGAAATGTGTTTAAATGTGGCCTCAGCTCTGCATGTGTAGTTTACGCCCCCCCTACCACACAAGTTCCTTTCCATCTGTGGTCATGTGATTGGATGAAAATTACCTTTAACGTGCATGTGACCTGTGATTGGCTTATAATCTGTCAGGGTACTCTGTGTCTTTAGGGCTCGAGGCACCAGAACTCTATGTCCGCCTTTGTCAGCAGGCAAATGTAACCCTGTTTCAGAAAGGAGAACCTTACAGGTACTTAACATGCATCATAGTCGGAAAGGGGACTGTCTGTTTGAGGCGTGTTGTTCATCTGGGTCTGATAAAATGAACTCGCCTCTATGTGATAAAACAGGGTTTAAAAATAAGTAAGATTATTAATACCCGTTTGTTTTGTCTGAGACATTCTGGAATTCCGTCCCGGCCTATCAGAGAATCTACGGGATAAACATCACATGCTGGGGGTGGTGAGAGGGTGGAGAAAATGGTCTGGCCAATCACGGCGTGGTGAATTAATTATAATAAAACAATAGCTGAACCCATTCCTCCGGTAAGCAGCTCGGCGTCATCTGTATGCGGAATGTGTGTGGTTACCAAACTGTCTCTGAGTGTCTGTTGGCTCTTCACACCTCAACGCCTCTTTGCCTAAAGAAGAGAGCATAGGTGCCCAGATTGTTCTTGATATCGGCGCAGCTCATGTTCCTGGATTAACCCCAATTGCCGTTCTTTTCATTCAGGCAGCGGACATTCCTGAATTGGTAATCTTAGAAAGCAAAGAGACCCAAAATACCTCCACACACTCTAAACCAGTGAGGGATTTGAAAGCCCCGAACCCTGGAGATAACACTTCATATATTGGTTACCCATAAATGTGTAGTTTACTATGTTCTATGCTACTTAATCAGAAATCAGTTCTTACTTCAAGGACTGTAAGGATGTACCATGGCAGGGCAGGGCACTGGTTAGCAAATTTTTACCGAGTTCCCCTTTTCCTAACAGATGATCATGCAAAATTATGAACACTTTGCAAATCTCTCCCTCACCCGTTCTGCAAATTTAAAGGAGGGGTTACCCCCCCCCCCGGCCTACCGGTCAGTGTTGGCCTGCCCAAATTTAAATGACATTGAGCTGTCCCTGGGCTGCTGGTTTTCTCAAGTGTTGTCGTGGCAGTGACATCATACGGAAACGGTATATTGCAATATTGTATAATGGACAAAGGTTCAATGATGGACAAAGGTTTATTAGGGCAATTAGGGGACACTACATCCAAAGGGAATGTGTATCGAGATGTCTGCCCTTTCGTGGTGAGCATCCTCCACACCGGCTTCATTCACTTCCCTCTCATCCTCCATGACTTCCCCACCTTTAGCCCAACAGTGAAGACTGTCTTGTCCAGGGGCGTTTCTAACTATTGAAACGATCAGGCCCTAAGTCAAATTTGCCTGGGGCTTGTCTGAGACACACAAGTTAATATCAACACCCATGCAGAGGTGGACATTTCAGGTCCTGAAAGGAGAAATCCAAACCAGGATTTTGTTTCAACCAACCAGTTGAGTATAAAAAGTCACAGTCACAGAATACTCAACTGGTTGGTTGAAACAAAATCCTGGTTTGGATTTCTCCTCTCAGGACCTGAAATGTCCACCTCTGCACCCATGTAATGTACAAGGAAAATTAAGCATTTAGCCATTGACTTAAAATATCAGTAGTACAATTTATCATCAGATTATCATTAAATCAAAGTCATTAAAGTCATTTCTCACATCTCACCTTTAGGACCAGGAAGACACAAATATCCCATTTCACACAATCTATACGATTATCCGGTCCTGGGATATTCCCTGCCTTGCACCCGTAGCCTCGGGAATTTGGACCGGGCCCCTTCGACCCTGAATAGGAGAAGCGGTTACGGAAAACGGATAGATGGATATATGATCATATAAATATCTATTTCGAGTTTCTCTCTCTCTCGCTCACGGACACATAAATACCATTTTCTCCAGTGGATACTGGCTGGGCTTCCTGCAGCAGCTCCTCACAGCCATCACTGTCTGCACTGGCTGCCCTGTTCACGGTCTCTGGACAGCACAAACTTATGTAGATATTAAGATTATCGTGATAAACATTCTTATTTCTTATCCCTATTTAGCATATATGTACAGTTCTGGAAAAAATTGAGAGCACAGCAGAAATTCTTCTTTCACTCATTTCTCAATTTATGGCTGTGTGTCTGTGAATAATTCAGTTTTTTAGCAAACTGCAGCCTGGCTCTTCCCTGCTCTTCACTGAAGGGCTTCTTCCTTCCTTTATGGGTCTTCAGTCCTGCTTCTAGGAGCCTGATATGAACTGTCCTAGCAGTGCACTTCACACCTGCACTTAATGTTTCCCATTCCTTTTGAAGGTCACTCGATGTCATCTTACGAATCATGAGAAATTGATGGATAAGTTGACGGTCATCTCTGGCATTAGAAAGTCGCTTCCTCCCTCTACCTGGCTGGTTTCTGGTCGTTCCCAGCGTCTGCTGCTTCACCTGGTTCTTGTGCATTGCTGTCTTAGAACCGTGGAAGCAACCTGCTGCTCAGTGTAGCCTTCTGCCAGCAGAACCAGGATTAAACTGGGATTTAAAAATGCAGATTTGTTTTTAAACATAGAGTGGTCTCAATTTTTTCCAGAGCTGTATGTGATTTCTTCTCCAAGTGTGCTTTGGCAATACTGTTTCTTATGGTCTGGTCAATACAGCAAGCCTGTTTGAACTGAACTGAATTGAATATCTATGTTCATGAAGGATAGATAGGTTTGTAAAACTGGAGCTTTTCATCTGGGTATGCGCCACTTCCAGCTATTTTCTGCACTGTGTAGCGCTTGATTAGTGCCCTGTCCTTCGGATGTTGCAAGTTAAGTTCCACTCGGTTCCACAGTCTGTGTGTTGATTTGCTGCAATGGCTCCTTTTTCCTTCGACAGACGAGCCGCCCTCCTGTTTTCATTGTGAAAATACTCCGGGCTATGCTTAAAAATACTCAGGGCTATGCTTAAAAATACTCAAATCTAAACCCCTGAGTGATCGGAACCTAAAGATGCCAAAGGTCTTGTCTTTGGTTGGGGCAATAGTATGTTGAAGGCCGTAGGGGTTTGGAGATCTTGGGCCCCCCAGCAAATCCAGTTATATTCCAAATTTCTTAGGGCCCCTGTTGGGATCGTCCTAAATTTCTCCCCCTTTATGGTGCCCATGGACAACTATATCTCATTGATACGTCTTGAGACTACCAGTAAGAAAAACGTAGTTAATGGTGCCTGTGTGGTCCTGATCACCCCCTACTGGTGAACAGCAGCTTCTCAACGGTGTGTAGCGTGATACTGGCGCGCGTTGTCAGTTATTGTTCCAATCAGCGTATTGGTTTCTGGAATATGCCGTGCCATCCGCTGCCCGAATGAGGAAGTGGACCGGCGGCCGTGCAGAACGGAGGAACGCACGTCGGCAGCTCCCGGCATTTCCGCGTCGGTCTCTGCTGCCGTCCGCAATGTCCCCTTTGCGCCCCCAAAGTCGAGCAGCTGAAAATGAGAAGGAAGAGTAATATCCAGTTTGCTTAATGTCCGGATGGCCTGGTGTTACTGGCTCTGCAGGTGTCCTGTCAAATGGGAAAGCAGGGGAGGCTCAGAGGTTGATAATTGCCACCAAAATCACATTTATAGATTATAAGTCTGTCTCACATTGCAAATAGACCTCTTAAGGCCAGACAGTCTTATATGGAGAATCCTTAATGTCTTTTTTATGCTTATGAATGATCTGTCCCACATGGAATGGATCTCTTTAAGGGAGCATCTCATGTATGGTTAAGCCTCTCTGCCAGTAATCAGAAGGTTGTACACTATGGAGAACAAGATGGGGCAAAAATTAGAATTTCCCCCTGGAGAAATATCAGTCTCAAGATGAATTCCACAGAAGTAGGAATCTTTTCCATAAAGTCATACAATTTAAACCATATATGTTAAAATGCACGATGGCTAATTCATTGACGTCATTCTGACATTAGCAGGGCTAGTGAGTGTGACAGCAGTTGTGTTTTTTGTGGGAAGCGTATGGGTTCATTATAACACTTTACAGAATCGGCGTTAACCCAGGGCTCCCCCTGGCCAAGTGGTAGGAATACGGAAGAATTTAAACTTTATTCTGTCCATCATAAACCTCATGATATATGACCTAGCAACGAAAACAGGTTGTTTTTTCCTCTTTCTATCTTTAATATTTCTGGTATGTGCTCTTAGAATATGTTTGTATTTGTTTTAGTGATTAGTCTGACAAAGAAAAAGAACTCTGCCTTCGACGTTTACTAGACAGATTCACCGTTATCTACTGACAGTAACATCACTTGTTACCCCAGTACTTTGAGCACATATCTTTCCCCCTACCTAAATGATATCGCGTTATAAATCTCCTTGTCAGTGAGACGGGCGCAGAAGTCCCACCCAGGGAGGCGTGTCGTCTCGTGCGCCTTCACCCCTCTCTAAAGCCTTTACTTTGGGACACCTGGGTCATATTTGCACTGAGAAGACGTCGGGAATTACGGAGTTTAGGCGGCGATGCTAAATCTGTGAGGGGAAAGAACCGAGAAACGCAGACTGGGAAGCTGCCTTATCCTTCACCGTTTTATTTTGGCCGGGGGAACATATTTCTGTTTGCGAAGATGTTTTCGCGCCTGTTAACCATCACTTGGTTTATTATAACGATCGCATCCGGTAAGTGATAGCCGAGGACCTTTTGGTTCAGCAAGTTAAAAATTATTTCTGTTTGAATACAGCATAATCAATAACAATTTGATCTGTATTTATATACTCCAATTATGATATTGATTTCAGCTCCTGTGTTATGGATCTCGATTATTAATTGCCGTTTTTTTACAACAAGCAAAACTTGAATTAATATTGTATGTCTAGTCAGGGTATGACTAATGTGACCAGTCTATTTCCATAACCAGCGTTTGGTTAAAAATAGTAGTTTACATAGCAACGGCATTTTTGAATACACTAATTGATCGATTTTGAAAGCAACTGGCTTTTCTATGCATTTAATATGCCACTAAAACAACATGGGGGAAAAGCAGCAGAAAAAAAACAGAAAATGGCATATACTGAATTAGCTGGTGAACATAATCTCTTTGGTAAATCCTATAGGATTCAGTTGATGCGAATTCTACATTTTATGGTACTAAGTACGTATACTGTAATACTATTATTATGTAATGTTATTCCTGCGAGACGGCATTGTGGTGGGCAAATTATCTGAAGATTACCCATAGGGATTTTCTCCCAAAAAATATCTTAATTGGGTTCTTTTGCCGTTGAATTTAAATGGGATATTTTATAAGAATTGGTATAGACAGTAAAGTTAACTTATTTTCGAGTTATTTCAAAAAGAATAAACCTATGACGAGGCCAGTGCAGAAGGTTCTGGAGAAAATACGTGTAAAAGGTGAGATTTGTTGCTATAGGGATTAAAAGCGCTAAAATTACCGGTTGAATTGGTAATCTTAAAAGAGAAAATGGCGAAATGTAAAGTCTTCATCCTTCTGCGGGATGAACGGTAACTGTCCCGTGTTCTGCCCACATGTTCTGTATAGTCTTTATATTATGGAGTACACCATAGTCCATATTCAAGGTGAAGATGGATCACCACTCTTCTCATGGCTACTCGGTCGGACAGGCGAATATTTAAGGAGCGACACAGTTGGGTTATACAGGTAGGCTGGGAGGATAAGTCTGATTTTAGGTAGGGTGGATGAGTCTGTAACGATACTTTCTTAAGCCTATCGTATTTTGAGGATATACGTTTTGCACCGGTTTCCAACATTAGATCAGAGCGGTTACTTTTAAAAAGTAATTAAATTAATGGAAATGTTTGTCCGCCCCCCATCAGAATTCCGTTGTACCTTTTTATGTTTTAGTTAGTATACAAAACGGGCAATTTTTCTGCTTGAACTGATGCCTCGTTTATGTGTTAAAAATAACACTATGCAGGTGTTCAGAAGGAACTTTTTTTTAAATCTATGCCTCACTCTGAGCAATGCAGAGGCCGCCCCGAGTCCGCAGATGGGTGACGCGGCGGGGGGGCAGGCCCCACCTCACCCGTGACTCACCGGACCCTGTCGCTCGGTTGGCCGCCTGTGAGTCACTGGCCATAGGAGGGCCCGGCCAGTTTCGGTCAGCAGCCCTTCCAGAACACCCTTGTCATGAGACTGGCAGCCAAAGTGACACCTTGTTGGCTCCCAGTAAGCGGTGAGACTAAAACCTAAAAGTGAGTTCAGAAGCTCCTCCTCCATCATTTGGTTTATTTCATGATCCCCTTTGAGCCTAATGCCAAGCGTCCTGTAGAGACTGTTTCTAAAGACACGACGTGAAAGTCGCTCTCTAATCCTAACATTGTACGTAGAAGATGCTTTTATCCAGAGCAACATGCATTTTTTTTGGGATAGTCTCTGGAGCAATTAAGGGTTACGAGCTTTTTGAGATAATCAATCTGCCAACAGTGAGATTTGAACTTGCAACCTTTCGCTCGGAGACCTAATAGTCCTAATAGTCCGAGGCACCCGCCTGCTGTTGTGATGGCTGTGGACGGTCCCCGACTGGATGATTGGGAACAATCACCCAGGTCTTTTAAATTTAGACTCATGTGATCCCGGAAGCAGAGACGCTTCTGTCTACTTAGTAGATGAGGATGTTCTGAGGTTTAAAAAATAAACCTGTCCGTCAAGCCTCCCTCCAACGTGGATGGTGCTTTAGATCAGCCTGGACCAATAGGGAAAGGAGGGCCTGCCCACAGATTAGCATAATCCCGCTAATTCTCTTAATCGGGTCCATATTACCGGGCTCGCATAAGCGCTCCATGACATTATGGAGTCTGTTTCTCTGAGAGGTGCTGTTCCTTTCTTGGCCACCCTTCCTCCTGTCTTGTGGGATTACGGTTGTAATCTTGTCCGGTAGATGAAAAGCACTCTCTCGGCCGGGTTTAAAAAGGATATTATTCTACAGGCTTGGAGAACAGCAGATACCCCTGGGTATAGGTGACCATATGTTTCCTGGGTATATATCCCCCCTCCCCCGGGGAAAGATGAGGGATGAGTAGCTTTGTCACTGTGTGGGCCTGTTCATGTGAGACCTTTAGGTCTTGGTCTACAGCCAGGCCACCTGAAGATGTCTGGGGCTAGCGATCAGATATTGTCTTTGCAATTTTGTCCATTTATCGTTATGAGAGAAGACAGTTTCCATTTGATCAGAGGTGCTATCTCGATATGCACATTCTCCCTGGATCCGGAAGCAAAGCTTGCCAACTCAATTTCCTGGGCAGTTGAGAAAAGAATGTGGAGTTCTTTACAGGTCTTTACAGTTCTTTACAGGTCTTTACAGGTCTCGACAGCTTGAAGTCATATTTCTAGGTGTGCAGACCTACAAACGCCTGCCCTGGAAATTGCGCTGGGAAGCGTTTTGACTATAGATGTTGTTTAGTTATTGAGTCACTCTCAGAGGTTGCCGGTAAGAGTCCCTCGCAGACAGGATGTCCTGGCTGAGCTGAGCAGGGTACCCAACTTCCATGCCTTGAGTTAGCAACAAGAATTAATTCTCTGTCTTAATTAACAGAGAATTAGCGGCAAGGAGGATTGCTGTAATGGCAGATAAGGAGCTCATTTTAAACATGGTCAAACAAGGACATACCTCACAGCGAGCGGTATTACTGTGTTAGTTCTCTTTAAATAAAAGAGACCAAGGTCATTTTTTGGACTCTGCTGCCCTTCATGGGTGTCACAACCATGAAAACTGCACCTCTTGGCTCTCTCTGGAATATTGTGCAGACGGGACCTGCAGTAATTCTTGGATTTTTAAGATGAGGAGTATTAGAGTAGCCATGATTCATATAGAGGGACCAACGTTAGCATTAGCCAATGATATGTTTTGAATTTGTGAGGGAGGGAGCACTCCGGTCCAATCAGCTTTCAGCTGCGGCCATCTATACAACCCTGGGTGGGACTGTTTTCTGATAATATTGTGCAGGGATCCCAGTCTTCTGTGGTCTTAGGGGTTGGGCAAGGAGCGATGGTTTCCTATTGGATTTACTTGAATGGGTGACGTGGGGTGACCTGTGAACTCGAACCATGGTAAACACCTGTGTTTGACTTGTGTTGATTCTGCCCCTAATGGAAAGGAGCAGTACTGCCAGTTCCACCAATGGACACTGTCTGAGATGAGGACTGTGCCGTGTATGTGTAATATTGCTTTTACTAGAACCAGGCCATAAATATATCGAGCCGGGTTACTTGATAGTTAAAACTAATCATAAATGTGTCTTAAGGGATGCTGCCTAGCATTGCTGACAGTAATGTTCGAATACGACTGCGCCGTTGAAATGTGCTCATCATGTGGGAGTCAGCATGTTATCGCCCCTTGTCCTCGCATATGTTAATCGGGGTTTTCTCCCACACTGCACATCAGGCAGAACTATTTCAGGAATGTCCTCTAATCCCCTTTAAGATAGACGTAACTCCAAAGAGGGGTTGTCATGTTCTGTACAGTCTTGGGCCCTCGTTTAAGACCACCCTCTGGCTCAGCCACCCCCGCACTCTCATAGGTATGTATTTTTCTACCCCCCCCCTCTGGGATTTGTTGGCCAGAGACATCAGTATCACGGGGTTGAAGGATACAAGTCCCTGAGGGCCTGTGGGTTCAGTCCCAACCTCGAACTCTCAGTATTCGATGACTGTTGTGATCAGTTTAGAAATGATTATGTGATTTTCTATTTGTAAAGAAACTAACGTTTAAGATAACCTAAAAGTTCCTGAAAACATGTCTTATAGATCTGTTAAACTTAATGAGGCTCTTTCTGTCAACATAATGTAATGTCCTTCATTTCCAACATCAGAATTTATCAGAGGTTTTTTTCTTTCAGCTGCTGATAACCTTAAACAACTTTGTGGAACACAATGGGTTTTGTATCGCTGCTGTCATCTGGGTCACGTATGTGATGTGCTTTTTAGAAATGAACAATTTAACAATTATCCAAGATAAGAAATTACAGAACTAATTCTGCTACAATCTGTCACGGGAGGGGGGGAGCCAACCTGTGTGAATCTGATTTGTTGTGTTACTCTTTCGATCGTTGTAGAAGGAACATGAGCCAAAAAGACTAAAGGTCCACATCACCCACATCAGCTGAGCTGCTGCAGAAGTTTGGCCTGTGATGTTAATAATGACTGTACATTGTACATTAGCTGAGAGGCAGCTGGGAAAGTAACAGGGCTGAACATACTGTGACAGAACACGCCGTCATGTGGAACTGAGTTGCTGTGGTGATGCAGAGAGAGAGTGAAGTTAAGGAAATGCTTGTGTACCCGGTTCAACTGAGGTCCAATCCCCCACAGTCCCGGTGTATCAGGTGGTGTGAAGACACTATATCCACTGGTCCCTATAAGGGAGGGTTATGGTGAAGCTACTGGGACCAGATCTGCTGGTCCCTGAGATAGGCATTGGAACAGGTGGTCTGATCTATAATGTAGATGTGTTTTTTTAACCATTTGGGTGGTATTTGGCTTAGTGGTCTGGAATGTTGTGTCCTTGTTCGGCAGGTTGCTGGTTCGAATCCCAGAGTGGTTTTACTGTTGGAACCTTCAGCAAGACCTTTAGCCCCCAATTACCCACCCAGTTTAGCACCCAGTTTTCTCCAAAATGTACCTCCTGGATAAAGCCTCCCGCTAAATAATAATGTATTGATTATTGTGACATTGAGCCTGCATGGATTAGCCTGCTGGGATTTTCAGTATGACTGAGATTTAAGCAAAACACAATAGAGGAAGGAGGGGAAGGTCGACTGAAAGTTGTTCCGTCGTCACGTGGAGGCCGATAGCACCGGTGTCGCTTCCTCAGCAATCATCGGGCTGCTGAGCGCTCAGGTGTGTTGTGGTGCTGTTTCCATGGTGACCGCAGCAAGGCTTCGGCGCAGTCGAATGGTTTTTTGGCAGCTGAGTGGCGTGTTAGGAGACGGGATCTCCCAGGTGTGGTGTTTTTCATAGAGCCTGAGGGTGTCGTTTTTCTAGACTAGGAAAACGCAAATTGTTCACTGGGCCAGATTGAATAAGTTTAGGTTCTTCCATCTTTCTTCAGAGGAGACCAGAACTCATATATGTCAGGACTCATAAAAAGACATGGCTTGTTTGTTTTTGGAAACTGACAAACCCCTCCCTCAAACCCCCAACGTCTGCAGCCATAACACCTAATCTAGACCCCCCCCCCACCCCGAGATGAAACGGGGGGGCCTGGTCCATCGGTACATTTTGCCTGCACCCATAATTGAGAAGCCCTCTGGGGCCTCTTTGCCGGTGGTGGGAAGTGCCAGAGGCGCCTCACTGGTCTCTTACTTAATGGAATTCCAAAATGCTGCATTTTTTTTTGTTGGGAAATTGCTAATAAATGTGACGACGGCCCCTGGTCGCTCCCTAGCCGGACAGACCCTCGATGCTGCAGTACCTGTACGGAACAATAGCTGGAGGCTAAACGTGACTAAATGCGGGAGTAGTGAAGGAAGTAAAGCAAAGAGCCTCTCAGACCCCTACCCTGTTTCCCAACCCAGTCCTCGGGGAACCCCGGACAGTCCACGTTTTTGCTTCCTCTCAGCTCCCGGCGCACCTGTACCAGGTACTCGGTGTTCCTGATTGGCTGGGAGCTGGGAGGGAGCAAAAACGTGGACTGTCTGGGGTTCCACGAGGACTGGGTTGGGAAACATTGTACTAATACACTTTTGGCTGCTTTAAGCCAGTGTTTCTCACCCCGGTCCTCAGGGAACCCCAGACAGTCCACGTTTTTGCTCGAGCACGAAAGCTGGAGGAGCAGACGCTAAAGGACTCCCAAAGCAGTTTTCTCGCTACCGTTACCGACAAGGGGGGAGGGGGGGGGGCAGATGTTGAACTTCACATCACCCTTATTTTTGGTCTGGCTCTGTTCTCTGGCCTTTAAGCACCCTGGATTAACAGAAAACACTCTGTTGTGAATCTGTAGTAATTCAGCAGGATCCACTTTGCTGTAGCAGTTTTGACCTTGAATGCTAACTCTCGTACTGCAATGAAAAAAGTTTTTATCTTCATAGTAACCATACTCCGCTTTTTTGTATATTTCTGAACATTTTGCTTCCCATAGTGTGCAATAGAAAAGCTATAACTCTGATGTCTGAACTCTTTTTTTTTTTCCCGTTGTTTTAAAAAACTTCCATTTTCCTACGGCGCTGCTCAATTTAGTATCGATTAGCAACCTATTAATTTATCAAGTGAAGGAATCACATGGGCAAGCAGAAACATAGCAGCCCCCTCTCGAAGGCTGTGATGATGTTCTGCACGGGTGCCATTTCCGTCGATCAGTCTAGAATCGTCGTTAAGCAAGAAGTCGCTGCCTTTTTCCCTTTTAATCTCGATGCCGAATTTTGGCCTGTTTTTCGCTAACAGCTTCATTGTGGTCCTCATGACGGGGAGGTCACGTCGGCAATGCCATACCTTGGCCGTCTTTAGCACTAAGCTACTTGGCTAGGATGGCTTAGCTGGTGGTTTTCAATCAAAGGTTTGTTACCCAGCTCGATCTGCGGCTGCTTAAGTTTGACCCAATTCCCCTGATGAGACGGCTCAGGGCCGTAGTTCAGCCTGGTCTAACTGGACCTTACGTGGTTATTAATCAGCCATTGTATATCTATGTTATCCTTTCCCTCCTGAAAATGCAGGGTTGGGTAGTTCAGGTCCAGAGAGTAAAAGTCCAGACCAGGATTTTGTTTCAACCAACTAGCTTAGTACTCTGTGACTCTTTATGCTCAACTGATTGGTCGAAACAAAATCCCGGTCTGGACTTTTAGTCACTGGACCTGAATTACCCAACTTTGTGAAAATGCCCTAGATAGGTAAACTTGCTTTTTCCTATTTCCTTACACTTTTCCATTACATTGTTCACTAATTATAGGCTTAAGGTTTGTGTTCTATAGTCCCAAGCCTACAGAATATTGACAGATGTAGTTTTTGTGTTTCTCCATATAGCATGTTTACTCTTAGGGGTTAAATGCTTGAAGTTTTTTTATAATTTTTTTTTTAAAGAACTTTATTGCCATTGACAAACATTAGCAGGCAATCTTAGCAGTATAAAACAGAATAAAAGGAAACAAAATCAATCGCCCTGAGAGTCAGTCACTGGTTTAGCAGTCAGATTTCCAAATCATTATATACATGAAGAACCAAACCCTCAGATATTTCTTTTGTAGCATTTCGTCCTGTCGCTGAACCTGGTCACGGTACCAGTGTGTAATATAGCTGAAACAATCTCACTTCATACTTTCACAGAATGTGAGCATTTTCCTGTGTGTCTTTGAGAGAGAGACATAAAAAAGGGTGAATTGAAGTTGGAGTTTCTGTGATAGGGGCTGGTTAATCTTATCTCAGGGCAGGGTTGGTATGGGTGGTGGTTCCCTGTTAGCCTAACGATCTGACGTTGAACTGTGCGAACGCGGCTGTGGCTGCGATGGGGAGTGGGGGGTTTCTGAGCAGGATCACGTCCTTTTTCTGGGGCCGGCGCTTAAGCATTTCTAAACCCTATTTCGGATTGCTTCAGTCACTCTATTTTTTGGTCTCAGCTCCCCATGTATTTTTCTAAATCCTTTTACCAAATTCTGTCTGGAATTTTCTTGCGCGTTTCATACAGATGTGTACAAAAATCAGCAAATTTTGAGTCCCCTCCCCACCTCCCGTTCCCCAAAGGGGTTGAATTGTAGAATTACCCCAGGCCTGACATAGAACGCAGTCATTTGGTTCCTCACTTTTGCCAGTAAGGAGTTTTCAGAAAGGATTCAAATCATCAAAGAGGAAACTGTTGCACACAAGTAGCCATTAATGTGTAGCATAAATCGGTTTGAAAGTACTGACTACAGATTTGGAATTCCAGTGTGGTTTAAATCATTAGGTGAAAAGGCCAGACAAAGACAGGGCAGGACCCCTGAAAAATTCAACCAAATGCCCCCCCCCCCCCAACCAAAGCTACCTTTACCCACGCTCACACACTCCTGGGCCCCCCCTAGAGACTTTCCCTTTCCCGCCCTCATTGCCAGCCCTGTTAAAGCGATAGAACCCTAGCAGATGTTTTTTACAGTATGGTTGTATATTTTCTCTTGGTTTTGTTTTGTTTTTAACGTTATCGCTTCTTATTATTCTCCATAGCTCCAATGACTGCGGACATAAATACCGCGATTTCCGTTACCGATCCAGCGGAATCGACTGTGCTGCCCGGGACACTTGGGCCACCCACGTCGGACACTGCCCAAGTCTCAGTGGACTCCGTTACCGCTGGCTACGGCACTACGGAAACAGGACTGACTGATGGGTACAGCCCTGTATCATCCTCGACATTAACAGAAACTCACTCTGCTAGCCCTCTGACTAACTCTAATTGGGTCTCAATGGATGTGATCACAGAGTCTGAACATAATTCTTTAGCATCCTCAATATCACCAGGAAGTACCTCTTCCAGTCCTGTTAGTAGCACTGTTTGGGTCCCCATGGATGTAGTCACAACAGCTGTCTATGGCCCCGTAGTGTCTGCCACATCTCCAGAAAATAATGCCACTATAATTGAGAGTACCTCTGAGTATGTTGCTATAGAAACGACTACTGTCCGCATTAGTACAACATCTCCTGTGACTCCCGGCTTTGATTTGAATACCAGTACCCCTAAGGATATGGCAAGTTCAGTCACTGTGGAACAAATTACAGATCCTACTCATGACCACTTAGTTTCTAGCACCTCTTCAGAAAATGACACAGTTCCCACCAAGACACCCAAAAGTGTCACAACAGATCCAGAACTTTCCACTGGGTTCTTCTCAGCTTCCACATCTGAAAGTAACTTCAGCAACCCTGTCACTAATCACGTTACTATGGAAACAGCTACAGCCCATATCTCGATTGCACCTTCTACTCCTAAAGAAACTTACTCCACCACCCTGACAAATACAGCGTTAAACAGCATGGAAACGATCACGGTCTCTCCACATAAGACTGTGTCACCTGAAATGAACTCTGATGGTTATGGGAGAACTACATTTCAGACCACCATGGAAGCTGTTACAAGGTCCACAAATACAGCTGGTGTTTCCTTGACAAAAAATGAATCTACTACATCTTATCAGGTCACAATCGTGAATGTCACATCAACTATCTATAACCCAGGAGTGTCCCAAACATCTCAAGAAGATGACCACAGCACCACTCAGGTCACACAGCATGAGGCCACAACTCTTGTTCATAACCGCACATCTTCTACATCTCCAGAAAATCACTATGACACTAGTGTAGCAACTTCTCATCATATCACCATGAAAACTACTGTTGATATGCCTACATCAACTTCTACATCTCTAGAAAACTACTCTACCATCCCTGAAAGTACCCCCAATAATAATCTCACAGCATTTCCAACATCTGAAAATTATTTCTCCACACCAGCTTCAAATTATACTGCCTATATTCCTGTTGCATCCTCTGTAACTCCAGCAGCGGGCTCCTCTACCCCTGTTGGCACATCAACTGAAACAGTGACGACCTCTGTCTACAATCCCACCAAATCCACTACATCTCCCACTGATTCCGACACAACCTTCCCTCAAGGTCCTGCTACAACTCAAGGACTAGAAAGCACCTCAGTTACTGAGTCACCGGGACAAGGCACCAGTGAAATGAGTGCTAACCAGTCAATGAGTACCCCTGTAGATCAAACATCCATGGCCATGACAGAAATTTCAGTGACTACAGTAGCAGGTCCAACTGGTTCCCTTGCAGGTATGTCCTCCATTCCCAGTGCTTCCAGCTGGACATTGTGTATGTCTTGTCTGTCTTTGCAATCTAGATGAAAATCATACTAGTTACAAGTTGTTTACTCATTATGTATTGCATTGCATGCTTTATCAGTATTGTACTACCTCTGTAGGTACCTGCACATCCCGTTGCACCACCTATTGCATTTTTATGTGTTTTTGTCTTGCACTTTCACGTCTCTTATTGCACTGTTGTTTGTCCCGTTGTCCCACCATGCACCTGTCCCCTTCCCAGCAACTGTGACATGAGACTTTCACTTATGGGAGTTTTACATACACAAAAGTGTTCTGAGGGCAGAATGAAAAATGATTGCTTCAGAGAGATAACCAATTAGGTTGTAGCAGATGTTGGACCAACCAATCAGATGCATTGGTCCTGCAATCTAATTGGTTACCTGTCTGTACCAATAATTTTTCTTTCTGCCCTTAGAACAAGTTTGTGTAAATAAAACTTTGACCAGCAAGAATTTCTCTGTGTTCCTCGAAACATCTGACAATAAAATTTGAAACTTTATTATTTGGACAGATGCCACCAGCACCATGGCTACTGTGATGAGCGATCAATCCACCAGCTCTACATTCCCCACGACCACGATGTCGGTGCCTATCACCAACACGGGCGTCCCAGAACAAAGCAGCAGTAGTCCGATTGTGCCGGTTACCGGATCCACTACCGCACCAGCCACCACCAGACTTCCTGTCAGACCTGGAGGTACGTGCTGTGTGGTTTTTACTGGGCCTCAAGCAAATAGACAGTGCATCAAAGACATGGAAAGAAATCTCATCTAGTCAAGGACAGTGAGGTCGGTTGGAAGTGTAATGTGAAAGCTCACTTGAGAATTGCTGTCGAAGTTGGACCAAAATTGTCTCCTTGTAGGTCCCAGGAAGGACAACAGTATGGGCCCCTCAGGCGAAAAAGAGTGAAGTTTTCACAGTGCGTTCAGCATTATATATACACCCGCATGGTTATGTGTTAGACTACCTGTGACTCATATGGGCCGTTAAGCAAACGAAAGCCGGAATGATCTCCCAGGCTAGAGGCTCATGTTGCAGTTCCCACATGAGGGTTAGCTGCTCACTTTTAAGCCAGATTGGATTTCTGATGCATACCGAACTTAGCAGTTTTCATAATGGTTAGTACTCTCCATAATTAGCTATGCACTTCAATGCCTGATGCCGATTGTCAGAGATCGGACACTTATATCCACTTTCAATTTTATACAGCTGGATAAGGGGTGTTACTAGCGATTTTGGGCCCCATGAAAGCATCTCATATTAGCCCCCCCAGGCCAGACCGATCCAATTATGTTCCAAATCTTGGAATCGTCCTCACTTTTGCACTCTTGAGCTGGAGGTTTTACTGGAGTTTTTCAGGTTCAAGTGTCTGATTCAAACATATAACAGCGAGACAGCATCTGAGATATGACAAGTCTGTCTTCCGTTGGACACAAACATGATGGGTTTTAAGGAGCAGGATGGAGTGAGTGCACTCAGTGCCCTCAGTGAAGGGCACTTCACTGCCCTTCACTGAGGGCAGTGAAGGGCACAAGAGTCTTCAGACTTTCAGACTAATGCTGTGTCGTCGTTCTTGTTTTCTGGCAGGTTTCTGTCCCTCGAATCCATGTCCCTTTAATAGCGTCTGTCTGGAGCTCATCACCAGCTTCAGCTGCCTCTGTCTGGCTGGGTCGTACTTCTCCGGAGGGCTCTGCATCCAAGGTAGTGGTCGGGCGATGAAATCTCTGGAGTGACCCTCTGTGACCCCTTAACAGACATCGCTGACACATCGCTCACAAGCTACTAGTATCTTGCAGGGATCCAGTGAGAAGCGTCTGTAACATGTTTTAGAAATAGGATCAATTATGTTAATTTTGTTCTTTTTTTTTATTTTGCTCGTACACATTTATGTTGGGGACATTTCATTTTGTCAATGACTGTCTGAGACAAAGTAAACTTGACTGACTTAGTCGGCATCCTTATATTTATTATAAGTACTTATATTTATTATAAATACTCGTGTTTGCTATAAGTACTCTTCCAATACTACAAGTTTCATCATTGCCTCCCCTGCCCTGGTTGATTAAATCTTGCATTGTATCAAACACATACTTCCCAAGGTTATTTTCTTTGCAGAAGTAGCTCTCACTGTAAATTGTAGACCCCTACTCTTTAACATACCTCCAATTTTGGGTCACCTTTATGGTTTATGCAAAGCTTTGATAGCCTTTGTTACACAGTAACTCCTGGCAATCTAAACAATGTGCACAGTATGGAAATCTAAGCGTTCATTACCGCTTTCAGCGTGAGTAATGAGGAACCATCATGATATGTACACTTATCTTTACAATTCCCCTGATAAACATTAAACGAGTAAGACAGTAGCTGTAAGTGATGGGGGAAGGTGGTGAAAACAGTGCATAATGGTGTTATGTTAATGTCTATTGGTTAATTATTAGTTCCTGTGTAGATATCTTTGTAGCATTGGCCTGCTATTTGTAAATGCAGGTGCTTTCAGGCAGATATAATCCTTTTGTTGCAGCTAGAGTGTTTCCAGGAACGCTGCATATAAAAACGTTGGAGTTTCAGTCTGAAATGAGCAACAGGTCATCCCAGGCGTTTCAAGAAATGGCGGCGAAGATCTCACAAGAGGTGGGCGCTTTGAGAATCATTGTCGGAGTTACTTCGGACTATACGAGCAACTTAGTATTTTAAAACGGTGAATTTTTCTCCATCATTATTAGTTGGGGGATGCACTGACGGACCAGCCGGGGTATGTAAAAACCATTGTCCAGGAACTCAGGTGAGTGCTTGAAAAAAGATGTGAAGCTAATTTTATGGTTATTTTATTTATATATCGGGGCATGTGTTTATATTAGCATAAACAGATATTCTGAGGATTTTTGATTTATGCCACCAAAACAACACCATAATGCGTCTTCTCCATAAGGTTTTTGTGTTCTTTTTGTCTCAGAGAAGGGAGCGTAGTGGCCTCAGTAGACAACATATTCAAGCTCGGCTCCAACGCCACCAAGCAGTCCACCATCAGCGCCATACATGCCGCCATCCAGGACTGTGCTGGGAATTGCGGCATTCTGACCATGGCACATTTCAACGGTAGGCGGCCTTTTGGCGTTCGTGGTGGGATGCGCTTCTGGCTGCCAGGCTGGCATCTCCTCTCACAGAGGCTATGTGACCCCGTCAATAAAAGCATAGGCCTTCACAACATTACCTTTGAGGTCCTAGTTCATAGTTTCGCTTTTCACCAGTCAGCCCTATATCACAGGGCTCCCTTTCTCCCAAATGGCTGACTGATATCATTCCTACCTTCCATCCAATTCCTATGCCTGCTTGTCCTATGCAGGATCACAGGGGGTCCGGGGTCTATCCCAGAGGCTACAGGTGCAAGGGAATAACCCAGGAGGGGGCTCCAACGTATCGCAGGGCACAGTCACGCACCGTTCACACACATTTACACCTATGGGCATTTTGCCAACTCTAATTAGCCTCAGCATGTTTTTGGACAGTGGGGGGAAATCGGAGAACCCAGAGGAAACCCCACGACGACACGGGGAGAACATCCCTCCAACACATGGAACCAGAGCTGAGATTTAAACCCTGCCACAGCACCACTGTGCTGCCCCTAATTACCACAGTCAGATTGCTTTATTATGCTGATTCCCCCCCCCTTCTCTCCCAGCCACAGACCTGTGCAAACAGGAGCCTGCCCCATGTGACCTCCAGACGACCAATTGCGTATTTCAGGACAATGGCACCGCCAAGTGCATCTGCAAGGAGGGCTACATCCCCTCCCTCTACTCCAACACCTCCTGTGCAGGTGATTCCTTCATTCTGTCAGTCGTCCAATCGGTCAGCTTTGTAGCTGTTTCATTATATGACAAGTTACGAGCCCTTTTGATTCCACGACACTGATTCTTCAAGAGCAGAGCATACTCTGGGTTTCATGAGTAAATAGATCTTAAGGCAATTAATGATTCAGTACATTTGCTCGGCACGTCCCAAATGTCTGATTCTTTGGTTCTGTGAAATCAGAAGCAGATATTTCATTTTGACTCGTTGCCTTGATTATTGGCAAGTTCAGCCATTTTGAAAGCAGACATTTTTCGAAGCACTGTAACTCAGAAGGGCTTTGTGGACAGTGTTAGGAGACAGAGCCTCTATCTGGAGTGCGGGGGGGGGGGGGGGCAGTTCCAGTTCTGGTGCTTGAGCCAGAGAAATGTTGAGAGTTTGGTCAATACCCAGTGATGTCACATCCCGTGATATCTCCAACTCGGGTTTATCTCCCTAGCATGCCTCAGCGGCGAGAGATCAGAAAACGGGAAGTGTGTTCCGTGAGTATATCAGTGTCTTTTTTTTTTCGGAAGATCTTTGTCACGTCACTGGAAAAACCCATGACCCAACCCTCTGATGCTGCGTTATCTCTTTGTGCCCCTGTTTGCAATGAATACTGCTCCTCCTAATTCTGTAAATTTGTAGTTTTATAAATTACATACGACATACTAAATAAAATATAAATTTTGTCTACTAAATAGAATAATCACTCTGGGGACATCACTTGAAATATTTTAAACGAATAGCATTGCAGTAATAATGATAATGAGGTTTAAGCGTTTGTTTACTTATTGATTCTGTGAAAACGATGCTTTAGCGCCCTCTTGTGTTCTAATGTAGCTCTACAGGAATTAGAAGAGTTCAGACAAGTGAAGGATAAGGGCATCTGTATAACATACCCTGCTGTTGTTTTTCCTCTGTTCCCCCTTTAGGTGCCCATTTGGTTACGGTGGATTTAACTGCCATGACTGTAAGTTTCTGATTTCAACCAAATCTTTTAATACTGGAGTTTATATAAAATATTGTTGAAAGCCTGAATGCTCTCATTATTAGGGGGTTTGTTCATGGTACTGTGAAAAACAGAATGCTAAAATGGTAGAAGAAGTGCTGTACTACACCTGGAATCTTAGCCTGATGACCACCAGTAAGATCTGGAAATCCCAAGTGTTTTGTTGACCATTTGATGGGGCGTTTCAAATCGGTGCTGAGGCATGTTGATGATCATCTTTCTGCAGCATATCTGTTGGCCATGGTGGTGATCTCCTGTGTGTTGGGCAGTCTGTTGCTCATTCTTCTGCTGGCCTTCATCAGTTACTGTCTGAGGTGAGACTAAGCCCCAAGCCACCCTGTTCTCTATTGATAGTCAAATGAAGTTTCATGAACCATTAGCTGTATTCTCTGACACCACTAGATGGCGCTCTCTGTTTAATAAAAAAAAAACAGCTCAATGCATGCCCCAAAGCAAACCAAGAGCACCGTCAATAGATACAGAAAATGGTTCTTAAAGCTTCATTTGACCATCACTTCTTTTCTCCTCAGCCCTCACAGTGCACCCTCATCTAAACACCAACCACAGGGGCTAAAGGCCGTTCCAGAATCAGTTTATGCACACTAGGGCTGTTTGCTTTAGGTCCTTAAGGGCCTACAGGCAACTGATCCACATGGACCATAGTGACGGAAGAAATGAAGCTGTAAAACCCAATTTGGGTTGAATTATCATGGGATGGGATCATTCATTGGCCAGATTGCCTGTTTCTCATTAGTTGTATCATCGGTTCCCATTGGGTTAAAACAGGCAGTGATTGACTGATGGTAATCCCACCCGCTATCAAGCTTGTGTCTCCCATCACTGCTGAACCATGCAGTTCAACACAGGGGAGCCAAGAGGTTTGTTTTCTAGGTTATTAGAGGTTTAATGAGCGTGAGACAGCTTGCTGTGCTTTTGGCTTCCTGGAAGACAATGGCTGTGGCATGTATAAGCTAAGAGTTTGTCTAACATATGCAGTCCAACATGTTTTCACAAACCTCCGTGTAAACATGATCCAAGCCCTGAGGCAACACAGATCCTTCATATTTGATGCCCAAACCCTTCATCAGTTCTGTTGCACAATGCTTGGCCATCAGGACCGCATACTGCGGTTAGGTTTCACTTCCAGTGGATGTCTGGGGGTGTCACTTGGTCTGATTATGGCCTCTGCTCTTCAGAAGGTCACCGCCGAAGTCCAGTTACAACAGCCCTTACCTGTCTGATGAGATGAGCTCCGTGTGGCCGCAGCAGGATGTCACAAACATCCCCCGGGCCAGCAGCATCTGGGACCCGACCCAAATAGAGATGATGGAGACCGCCAATGCTGACTCCGAGCTGGGCAGCAAGTTGCATGGAAATGGCGCGGTAAGGAGCTAGATCTTTAGGAATCGTCATGGAACATTGTTGATTGGAGTAACTTTGCCTGCAGTACCTTTGCTTTCCCATTATGCTTTTGAGATGTTTGCCTGCCCATGCCTGATCAATGGTGTCTTCTGAATGCCCAGAGATGTGTCTTTACACTGCTGCTAACTCTCTCCCTTGCCCTTCGCTTGCTTTGCCTCACCTGCTGTGCATTAATAGTGTAACCCCCTACGAGCCCCTGCTGGTGAAACTTTTAAAATTGCCTGGCTGTCCAAGAGGGTGGCTCTCCTCTGCCACCTACTGGTGACTTAGCAGACATAACACTAAAACTTTGCTTCTGAAAAGCTTTTCATCTTGAAAGCCCCTTCTGAGATCCAGAGTCCTCTCTCCTCTCCTTTTAGACGGAGTCTTGCAGTGTTGTCCCTGAAGACATGAGGACCTTCAAAGGGAAAAACTCTTCAAGATACTCATACCTGATCCAAGGTCACCAAAATCCATACTTTATTGCAGATGAAATGAAAATAACCACATAGCTTTTTCTTTATTCATTTTTAAAACTCAGGAGGGGAATATTCAGATGGACACAGAATGACCTGCTTTTCCTCTCGCGCAACACCAAGACACATCCTCAAATGATATAATCAAGGCAGTAGATAGTGTGTGTAAAAACAGTAGCAGATGCATCAATGGTTTCTGTCCTAATCCAGCGAAACCCAGGAGTATTTGATGAACAACCTGGCTGGCTCCAATATTGATCCTTACTAACAGGTTACTCAGACTGAATGGCACCTGTTACCAGTGTGATTTAAGGGAACAGCTTGTAAACTGTGTAACCCATCAAGAATATTTTCGTCTCGAGCAATATGCACAGCTATTTTCGAGCCACCGTACAGTGCTGATAATGCGATGAGATGCAATGCACAGTTTCAGCCAGAAGATGTCACCATTTTCACATTTTTTTTAATTTCTCCACACTGCTTTATGTCTGTGGGGACGGTGGCCATTTTTTTTAATTTTTTTTTACTAGTGCTTCTTATGTATAATTTGATTATGTCCGTTTGTTGTGTATGAATGACTGAATTTCTTGCCGATAAGCAGGGAAGTAATTTAGCTGCTGTCGTGCATTTAGTTAATTGAATTTAACGCCCTTTTGTGAGCGCGATGCCTCAGCTGACGGGCAGTCTTCTGGCGCTAAGCTGTAGCATTCCTCGCCGGAGCTCTGGACACGCGGCTTTGTCCTCTGGGAGCTGCTGATTAGCGTGCGCCTGTTATCGTGGTTTGCTTGAAAAAGCGTGGAGGAAACATTTGAGCTTATCATAAAGTGTTTATTCTGGTTGTGCCAACTATGTACGTGTGCTTAGGGTCAAAGTCAATGTATGCGAGTTATTTTCATTTTTGTCCTGTACATAAGCACTGTTTGCATAAGGTCTGAGATGTTGCTCTATTTTTTAAATGTACATAAACCTTTTTAAGTCGGGCAGGCCTTTTTTTGGCAGAGTATAATGTTAGTGGATGAGGAAATAAATCAAGATAATTTGCAGCCGCCACAGTGCCGTTATTTTCAATTCTGGTAATTGTTGCTTATGGAATGAGGACATGTCAACATGTGGTTATTATAATGAGAAACAGTGTTATGGCAGACAACACAGGGATCAGTATAAAGGGCATTTGGTCTATATCACAGACTTTTGTTATTGTGTTGGTTAATAAGCCCTTTATTTTAGCTAAACCTAGGATAGCTATTATCAGGAGAAACACTGGAAGGGGCACTATATTCTAACCTCACTTGTAATCAGACTTCAGAGCCATTAACGTACTGAATGGCAAGATTCCAGTCACATTCCACCAACGATATTTGCTGAGGATTTACGGGAAGCATTGCTTCATAGGTTACCAAATTAATCAGTCATGGAATTCTTGTGATGTTGATTTATTTTTTTTTATTCGGCGCTAAATTTGCAATAACGAAACTGCATATATTAGCCTAGAATATACAGTATGCAGAATATATGCCCCTTAGGGGGCAGCGTGTGGCTCAGTGGGCTAAGCCTGTGTTCCTGTAATCTGCGGGTCCTTGAGCAAGGCCCTTAACCCCCAGCTCCCTGGGTGCCGCTACGGGTGGCTGCCCTTCACAGACAACTTACTCTACAAAGAGCAAGTTCAGGGAGGCATCAAAACAATTTCCCCACAGGGATCAATAAAGTATCAGTTATTATTATTAGAAGTCGGTTGGATTTGACTGGAAAATTAAGTGTGCATGCGATGCTTTTAATTGCTGATAATCAAATGATTCGTGTGAAGCTTGCATGCAGATGCTGTATCCATGGCCCAGACTGAACCTGGTCCTCAAGTTACCTGTCTTAGGATTCCATGCTCAACGAGGCTCCCAATGCACTCTGGGTAATTTTAAGCCCCCGTGGTGTTTATGGAAAGAGTTGTGGTGTTGACCCAATCATTCCCAGGCTGTCAATTAGCAAAATCTTTTTTACTTAATCATTTCTTCATACTGCTGTTAGATTCTTTAAAAATTTGATGCTGTATATCCTTCAATAGGGGGCGCTGTAAGGCAGGGCATATTCGCTAATGAGACAAATGTGACTTCAAAACTCAGTTCTTCCTGCAAGTTGTGAAGCACTTCCTCCGAAATAAAGTTAAGCGTGGATGCAGGATCCGACTGTCAGTATGCGACCTGAGAGTCCCGCCTGCTCCGGATTTTGAGATCTCATTTATCCCATCAATGGTTCAATATGGATGCTGCAGTGGCTGTCACTGAAATCACTGGGATCTCTCTTCTAAAATACCCAAAATAGCTATGCCTTCCCCCGAAATCCTTAGTTTCCTTTGACAAGTGATGTCGGCCTAGTAGCTGATTGTGGCTATGCGTGAGCCCAACCTGGAACACTCAAAGGAGTGTGCTTCAGTTCAGCCGTCTCTTACGCTGTCAAGATTGCAAGGAGGAGGACCTCGGTCAGTTTGAGCTGGCTGATCAGCAGGTATCTTTTCTGGGGCTGCCCTGAAAACGCGCTGCTTCCCCAGTGCTGAAGCTGTCTCTCTCAATGCAGGTCTTAATTTTCCTACTGGTTGTTGCTTTGGGGAGGAAGGTGGCCCTGCCAGAAATGGTGGCGTTCCGAATTTCCAGGATGTACTTACGACATGTTCTACATAACTGGATTCATAAATGATTAACCTGTATGTTAATGTTAATGGAACTACCTTGGACAATTGTGGCAATTTTGGAAGTATGTCAAAACTGCAGTACATCATCCATCCATCAACCGGGCATAAGGCTGGGGAAATCCTTGAAAGGAATGCCAGAATGTTAGAAACCACTGCTCCCAGTTTTCCACTAATACCTTCTCTTATTAATAAAAATAGGTTTGAAAAAAATGTTCAGAAAATTAAAATGTAGTCTGGCATATTTTCTTGCTCAATAGCAGAAAAAAAATCCACAGAGTGTCTAATTTGTGTTTGCGCATGAAAGAATGGTAATTAGTGTCTTATTTCAGCATTTTATTATTACATATGTCTCATTCTTGGGAGAAATGATCTGATCTGCAGTTATACAAAAAGAGAAAAGAGCATCAGTGTATTACAGATCCATACATCACCACTGGCAAACTTCTTGAAGCCATAGTGATCGACAGTTAGCCTCTGACAAGCTATGCACCACTGCAGGCTCCGGCGGGGAAGATGGACGGGAAGATTAAGGAACTGGCTCGCGGCGGGTCTCATCGGGATTGCTCCGGTGGTCCGGAAGGAGGTATGCTGTCATGGTGGCTCAGTAGGGAAGATCGAAAGTTGTGTCAGGTGTAGTGGTGATGGTGAAGGCGGTGTCATGTGGCTGAGATATGGATTTACCCACAATGCCCTGGGATGTCTCCTTGGTATTTTTGATAACCTGCAAATACTGCATGAAGGAGCTCTCAGTCAGCATTGTTATGGGCCTGACAGGCCTGACGCCCACTTCCTGTCACGGCCCCGTCTGCCAGACAGGAGTTGTCCTCGTTTGAGATTGCCGCAATATTTTTTACTCCTTGTACGCCTTCCTGCCTCACAGAAGCCCCACAGATGCTCCCCGTCGATTCAGTTGTGGTGTAATGAGCTGTAATAAAGCCAAAATTTAACCAGGTATCTTTCTGCCCCTGAAGAGGTTTGAATTATAAAAAGGGCCCTTTCTTTTTTGGGATTAACATCTGTTTGTTGAATTGCGTCTCTTTTACACTTTTACAAGTGTGTATTGGGATAATATGTTCTATAAGAGTATGAAGTGAAATTATAAAGGCGTGTCGATTGATTACGGTAAGGAAGTGTTTCCCAATCTGGTCCTTGGGGACCCACGGACAGGCCACGTTTTTGCTCCCTCCCAGCTCCCAGATAGGCAGCAAAAATTTGGACCGTCTGCAGGCCCCCTAGGACCGGGTTGGAAAACACTTCCTTACTGTAATCAATCGACACGCCTTTATAATTTCCCTTCATACTCCTACATGCATCATACGTGCATCCATAGCTAGCTGCTTCAGACAGGCAAATATAGTTATGGGATATATACTGTAGTGCATAGAATACAAATAAAGGGCCGATCTGCAGGCTTGGATGCTGTGCAAGAGCCTTGATCTTTTGCTGTCTCACCCCGACTGATGTCCTGACTTTCAGTAGCGTTGGCAGGAAACTGAAAGCACTTAGAGCATCCAATTAAATATCCATTACTGGGAAGGCCTATGCGTGCCCACCCCCCCCAACTTGAAAGCTTTCCCATAAAGCCCTGGGAAGTCTCTCTCTCTCTCTCTCTCGCATTTCCTTAGGCCTCCCATTTATAGCTGCTCTCGGCTCGCCTTCATAGGTGCCAGATACACTTGTCCTTTTCTTTTTTTTCTTCTTCTTCTTCATAATCCTTTTTGCTTCAGTGGTCTGAGGAGACGGCAAAGCGCTTTACTGGGGAAACACAACCGCCTCTCTTCTCAGGAGGTAGTCAACGGCAGTGGAGCGAAGGTTTGGAAAGGAAAGATTAAACAAGCACCAAAACAAAGTCTTAGGAAAAGGAAGTGTCTTTATTGGCATGTAACTGAAACACGGCTTTATTTCCCATTTGTACAAGTACCTTGGAATGTGTTTTTTCTCCCCCATATCCCATATTTTTCTCCTTTGAGAGACGCACCGTTACCCTCCTATTATCCAAGGGGTCAGTTTGACCCCATTCCATGTGTAACGTCTCTACAAAAATGATTGACTTTTTTTTTGTTTTGCTTCATATTTAATGACTTCTAATTTGATGGGTTAAATTTTTAAACTAAGAGCAAACCTTGGAGGTTTTTTGCTGGGGGGGGGGGGGGGGGCGCAGTTTAAGGATCTTACTTAAAGGCCCAACAGATTCATGGCTGCTCTACTAGGCACAGGATTCGAACTGTCAACCGTCTGATTACAGGTGCAGAGGTCTAACCCACTAAGCCACAGACCACCCTCTGGCTCGATAGGTTACGACGACAGCAGGTGGTAAATTGTCAGTGGCTACTTGTCCATTTTGTCTTGGTGATGGCAAACGGCGAAAACCAAAAAATGCAAATAGCAATGATCACTGCCATGGAATCCCCAAAAAGAGGAGATTATAAGAATCTAACACAGAACTCAGATGATGGAATTCCTCGACTGTTTGTGAAGTTTGACAATACCGCTCATCCTCTAGAGCCACTTAAAAAATTGAGGCCGGGGGGGGGGGGCAGGTGGGTGCTGTTGACAGAATCAGCGCAAGAGGGCTCTTGTTGCATTTTCACCGCAGGCCGTGTTGTGTTTACACGCTAACTGGACCCCAGTAAGGGCACTTTGATCGCTGCCGTGAAAATCGATGTGTCCTTAACAGCCGAGTGTCTTCCACCCGGTAACCTGAACCACCTACATCTGGGAGATGGTGCAATCTGACAGTAACTGAGCCAAATGCAATCAGACCCCAAAGAGGATCCTCGTAGAGGCCTCTCTGCTGAGGTCTCCCACAGGTACCACTATGGGGTTATTCCAGTGCCTAATAGACAGATAAAGGGCCCAGAATTATTTCTTATCTTATTTGAAAACCCTGAAATGGTGTAGCTCAGTGAATCTCAACCCATGGGTCGCGACCCAAAGATCTTTATGGGTCGCCAGGCAGAGTTGGAGATGTAAGCATTTTAAAATCAGTAAGCTCCTATGCTGATCCAGGATCAGATTTCCCAGCCCCAATCCTAGAATTACCCTGTATAAACATGGTCTTGGGTCTGCAACTGTTTTCACAAAACTATTGAACATTCAACCAATCCAAGAAGCCGAACCACAGGTGCTTAATTTAAAATTCACAGGCACGTCCAATCAGATTCGTGCGATAGGCATCGATTGGCGTAAATTGCAGAGTGCAGGTCGTGTCTGAGCCGGCATAGTAACACTTGGGTCACTGTGCAAAAAGGTTGAGAACCATTGGTGTAGCTCATCTAAATCAATGGGTGTTTCCCTCCATTTAAGCACTGGTCACATGACCAGGTGTCATGACCAAAATACCGATAACATAACCCCCACAGAACATT